TGTCTTTTTTCATCTTTAGACAGTCCAGATCAAGTAGAGAATGAGCTGAAAAGAGACAGCTTTAAAAGAATCAGGTAGTGCAAAGGAGAAATCTCTTCTCTAAAGCCGTTTCGATCTTTTGTAATGACCAATGCATTACAGAAATGGCATGGCATAGAAGGGTTAGAAACATGCTACACCTGGTTTGCTTAAAAGATGTTCCTATTTTAATACAAGGAAGAATGTTATTAAGGTGTTCAGGAGGTGCCTTTTATGCTAATCAGATCATTTCAGCAAAGAAAGTTCAAGAGTACGTTCCAGAAGGAAAGTGATTTGCACTATGACTCAGCTCTCCAGGACAGTGACATAACTATGCAAGTCCTTCCAGACTTTTAGAATGATGAGATTATCTGAGACCACTTAGGCTCAGGAGTCCCCTGTGACAGCCTGCTTATGGCTGGTCATTAGATCTCAGTGACTCTTGTGGACATTGCCCCCGCTGTTTAACCCTATTGTTCTGACTCAATAAAGTTTTGGTTTCATTCACTGAAAGGGAAAATCCTGCAGACAAAAATCTCTGTCATTTAATAAATACAACATGGTCATTGCTGTAACTCACAACCTAGTGGCCTCTTCTATTACAAAGTATATGGACACCAGGCCGAACGAGCCTTTTAAAAGGAAACTCTATTACACAATGTAATCGATGGTGGCGAGTCAAAGCTTTGTTGCATTTAAAATATGTGGTCACCACTATGCTCTGTAAGATTATGAGGCTTTAATACTCATAGAATTGAACAGAAATATAAACACAGAAGATTATATGATTTAGACACTAATCTGGTTCTTACCTTTCAGACACTTTAATTTATTTACACTGTCCCCTGTCTTACCGCCTTCCCTTTAAGCTTTGATCCTTGCACCAAAGTCAATGTGCTGTCTTCAATGAGGATAATAGAAACCCAGGTTATTTAAGAAACAAGCTTGAGTGCTTAAAAATCTAAGACCACAATTACAAAAATTGTAGGCCTGACACTAGATAATGATAATGTAATAGATGATTCAAGTACTGGGCTATTAAACAACACAACAGAACTAAATTCAGAATCACTTACCAAGAACACCTGTACTTTCCGAAAGCAACAATAGGTCAAGAAAGTGATGAGTGACTCTGTATTCTCAACGCCAAAAGCAGGAAGTCACATCCAGTTTGATTTAAAGGTAAGTAAGTCATGCTGTCAGTTAATTGCTACCTTTACATTTCTTGATCCACACTTTGAATAAAGCCAGTTGTGGCCAGTTATTATTAAAAAAAGTACCAAGTACCTAGGCACAAAAATAAGAACACGGGAATGCTATTGCCAAATGAAGATTCTTCTCTGTGCCAAGAGGTCAATCGGGAAGGGGTATCAAAAGTAAATCAGTTTGGGAAAGAATAATAAATATGATATAAAGAAGTATAAATATTCAATGAAGTACTGCAAATAATTTTAATTCTTCTCAGCTGTAGAACCTAGTTTTCTCTTGGATACAGAGACCAAATTCCATCCATTCAGTCATCTGCAGGCGCTGGGAAGGGTTCTACCAATATCCCTTTAAGGACAATAATACAGTTGACCCTTGAACAACACAGGTTTGAACTGCATGGGTCCACTTATATGCGGATTGCTTTTCAATAAGTACTGTACATGTATTTTATCTTCCGTATAATTTTTAATGACATTTTCTTTTCTGTACCTTAGTTCATTGTAAGAATGTAGTATATAATATATATAACACAAAATATGTGTTAATGGATTATTTATGTTATTGGTAAGACTTCCAGTCAACAGTAGGCTATTGGTAGTTTTGGGGAGTCAAAAGTTATTTTTAGATTTTTGACTGGTGGAGGGTTGACAACCCTAACTCCCAAGTTGTTCAAGGGTCAACTGTATTATATAATGAGGAGTTCTGGAAGGCCAGGTGACAGCAGCAGACCAGCCTACTACACTGGACAGAAGAAAACTGTATTATTTATCAACCTTACTCTTTGTTTCTGTATCATTTCTTAGCTACTCTAGTTATCTGGAGCTATTAAGTACAGGTAGATCAAGTTATTTTTAAAAAATCAGGCTGGACAGGATCCCACACACCTCATGACCAGTACAGGATGCCTGCCCTCTTTGTTCCTTTCTTAACCCCAACATTAGGCAGCAGCTAACAGGGTCAGCAGGGAGAAACCCATGGAGCTCAAGTGTAATAGTTCCATCATGAGGTAATAGTTTCTAAACCCCTATTCGAGGGTTATTTTTAATTTTTTTGTTGCGATTTCTTACCATTTGTAATCTGAAGGCCAGATCTTTTAGAGACCCTAAATTAATATTTGGAAACATTTACCATCTATATTTCCCCTTATTATAGTCCATGGCCATGCCTTTCCCAAGCTTATACCCAACCTTAATCTGATAGTCAAAAGATCAAGAATACCGTCTTTAATGAGGTTTTAGAGAACTTTGGGATGAGTTGCAAATGTCTAGAATCAGACAAGGGGTTTAATTTAGTAAGTTATTACTTTTTCTCATCAGCTCAGTTCTTGCCATTAAGATTTTCCAGACAATGTCTAGACTCTTTCAAAGACTCTCATTTTACTCTCTCCCCAAAAGTCTATGGCAATATTTCTCAATCTTTTTTATATTATCGTCAATCCACACTTAAGGAGCCTTTTTATTAGGCTTGCTTTTTTTCTAATCACATCCCCGCCCTATGAAATATTAACCCTACAGATAGACTGTTAATTTGTTTATATGCACTGGCCCTTTGGAAGACCGCCAACCATTGTAATATCAGAGATTGTTTCACCTCCTGAGATGCAATTTTGACACTCTGGGGCAATATTTTTTCTCTTTAGGAATGTGTACTCCATAACAGTTAAGAATAAGCTGCCTTTTGAAAATTTCCCAAAGTAACCAAACATTATGAGAGTTAAAAATTTTTCACTTGGTGTGTGATAATTTTCTTTTAATCTAACTACCTTTTCCCCTTTCTTAGTCCTGTTTATAGAATGACATTGACATTGAGAAAAGTACTGAACAATCTAATCAAAATTGTGTGTGTGTGTGTGTGTGTGTGTGTGTGTGTGTGTCTACTATTTGAGTAAGTGCAAAATTGCTTTAGCTAAAATATGAAGAAATACATCCAGGGTAATTCTCAAAATTCTGATAAAACACATCATTTGTCATATAGACTAGATAGATGTACGGAATTCTGACATAGAATAGTAAAATGAGATTATTCTTTTTTTTAAAATTATGAGTTTCATGACTTGGTTTTAGTCGGAATCTTGGGTTAACGGGCAATGGTTACATACTTTTATATTCTGTCCTTGACTTCTTGTAACCGATACTGGGAGGCCAAGGATTACAAAATTATGGGTATGAAGTCATGCAAATTAGAAATGGCATTTCACTCTCTGCAGCTGAAAGGGCACATAACATGCAAACATTGACAAATCTAAAAACTCAGCTAGTAAAAAGGCTTTTTGATGGAAATCTTAATGATGGAAATATTAAAGACTGGTCTTAAGTCTAAACCTTTTTTAAAAAGTTTAATAAGAAAGTGTTGTGCTTTAACTAAGTTGGAAAGTTATCAGAAAGGCTCTGGTAGCACATTTTACGTAAAACACTGTAATGAAGTAATTCTATAAATAGAGGGGCATCTTCTGGCCAGGAGTTGACACTATGGCTTCCCTGTACTCTCCACACACATATACCACTCCAGATGGCTTGAACATGCTGGAATCTGCAGTCTACTTGTCATCAGAAAATAGAATAAAGTGTTTTTCTGTTTGTTCGTTTCAAAGTTCAAGAGCCTTTCAGTGAAGTCCAAATGAAGGACATTCCCAGAGAGAAACTGATAAGGGCATAAGATGGCTAATAAGAATTTACCCGAGAATAGTCAGATGTTACCAGCTTAAATGGGGAAGCCCTCAGGTTAGCTTGGTGGTCTCCTTAGGGGATGTGTTAGAACCTTAAGCAAGCAGAGGAAGAGGAAGATATTACTGATGAAGGAGAAATCTAAAACCTGTGGGTCACTTCAGGTAGGTGGCAGAAACAGCTGCAAAATACTGGCAACATCAGCTGTAGTTGAGAATTGAGAAACAAATCAACTTTAGATCTTGGTAGAGGCCCAGAAAATAAATAAACTCAATTAAAGTCTCTGGGACCCAATGACCCAGGTGTCCTCCGGAGTAAAAAACAAACAAACAAGCCTGCTCGGGACCTCGCTTAGGACAGCTGCTTAAAGAGCTTTGCTTTTGCAAACAGTTGAAAGGACTTCTGTGCAAGGAAACTAACAGCAGGCGCTCTGTCCCCCTGTGGTATAGATGGACCCCCAAAACCCCTGTTTTCCCAGACTCTGAGTTTCTGAGCCACTTGGAGTCCCAGTGCGAAAGTCACTCGGGAAAAATGGGCACACAACCATCTTCTCAACCTAAATAATAAATATAAAAGTTGTCACTCTGTCCCAGATGTGACTGAGGGACTGAAATGTACCACTCATTCTCTTTCCACTAAAAGAATAAAAATTAAAACAAATCACCCAGAGAAAGTCACTCTTGCGTCCCTCCATCGATTATAAATGAGTTTCAAGTTCAAAAGGTTAAGAGCTTAACCGACGGGCGGCGCAGCCTGCAACTTTCTGCAACTCCGCGGTTCTGTATCAGTGACTACTGGACGCCAAGCTGACTTCTCCGGAGCAGAGGGCGATGAGCCACCCCACGCATCCCAGCCCCTCTGGCACCGCGCGCACCCCGAACCTCTAGGTCCTACTCCAGAAAAAGGGGCGCTCTCACGCCTGGGGACAGGCACGAACCCCCCCACCCCCCTCCACCAGGGTTCGAATGAAAGATGAAC